TAGGTCCAGGAGCCTGGATACTACAATTAGTTCTCCCATTAAAAAAAAGACGAGGCATTCGAAAAGAAACACTCCACCAGCCACACCAGGGAGCTCCATAGAAGAAGTGGAACCCCAACCTGGCTCCTCACAACAACCCAACAATTATGAGACAACTCAAGCTATGGGTGAAGAATCGCCGTTTTTCACTTCGAATCCATTTGAAGTGCTTTCAAATATAAACAACGAACAAATGGAAGCAGCATCCATCCCCAGAGAACCCAAACCCCCACCAATATTTGTTAGAAATATTAAAAATTTTCAATTGATGTGTAATCAATTGAATAATCTGGTAGGTTCAGGAAAATATTTATGCCAAAGCCGCACCAATGACACTAAGTTAATGCCCGACACTCCAGAAACCTATAGAAAAATCATAAAATATTTATCTGACACCAAGGCTGATTACCACACGTATCAACTGCGTCAAGAGAGGGCGCTCAGGGTCGTTATCAGAAGACTGCACCCATCTACGCCAACAGATGCTATAAAAGAAGAGCTCACGGGTATGGGATTCCATGTTCGCCAGATAGTGAACATATTTAAGGAGGATAGAGAACAGCCTGGAATAAAAAATAAAATACCTCTTCCACTATTCTTCGTTGACCTTGACCGAACACCTGATGTCGAAAACATCTACAAGGTCACACGCCTTTATTATACAAGCGTTGTTGTAGAAAAGCCCTACAGCAAGCGCGACATCGTTCAATGCCATAACTGCCAGGCTTATGGCCATACGAAACGGTATTGTCATCACATTCCTAGATGTGTGAGGTGTGGTGAGCAACACAAAACAGAGGACTGTAGGAAGTCTAGAACTTCACCTGCAGTATGCGCTTTATGCCACCAAGGACACCCAGCCAACTACAAGGGTTGTCAAACTTACAAAGATTTGAAAACACGAATGTACGCAACGCCTAGAGAAGAAGGGACATCCAGGCCACCAAGACAACCCTATAGAACAGTGAACGGAAGAGTGTCCTATGCTCAGATGTTCAAAGGAGACACTGTAAACACTCAATCTCAGGCCCTGCCACAAGAATCTAAACCTCAAGAATTCACACATCAACCTCAAGACCCATATCCCTCCATCCCTGAACGTAGATTAAATACTCACACATTCATTCCTCCTCCTTCCAATTCCACTGACCTCACAAGCCTATTGACATCTTTCCTTTCCGATTTAGATCTCTCATTACCCCCCTTATTTCGCTACTTACCAATGTTATATCCAACCTCATTCCACTGCCAAGAAATCCATAAATGTCCTCAACCAAATTCCTCTCCATTCTCCTCTGGAATGCGAATGGTATTCGGAACCACATCAACGAACTGACAATCTTATTACATGACAAAAACATCGACATAGCACTAATAACTGAAACTCGACTAACCAACAAACGACAAATCAACGTGCCCGGCTACAATATTTATCGAACCGACCATCCTGATGGAACAGCACATGGTGGCACTGCCATAATTATCCATCGATCCGTTTCCCATCATTTGTTTCCCTTACCAAGCCATAATTTCCTACAATCCACAGCCGTAATAATCCAAACACCCCTTTACCCAATAACACTAGTTGCGGCATATTCCCCACCTAAAACACCCATTTCCGAATCCCAAATAATTTCCTTCCTGAATTCCTTAGGACACCACTTCCTCCTAGGTGCAGATCTAAATGCAAAACACCAGCAATGGGGAGCCAGATCCACAAATTCCCGAGGCCGAACATTGCTATCTGCACTTAATTCCCATCGCAGCAACATCCTTTCACCTAATACACCCACATACTGGCCAACAGATCCCAACCGCAATCCCGACCTTCTAGACTTTTTCCTCCACAAAGGTCTAGGATCACTACACTGTTCTATTTCAAGGTTTGATGATCTTTCCTCAGACCATAGTCCTCTAGTCCTAACCGTTTCCACATCTCCCATTCCCAAATCATCCCCACCTTCATTTATCAGGGGGCCAGTTAACTGGAACCTTTTCCGTCAAATACTGGAAGATAATATTGACCTCAGAGTTTCCTTAAAAACACCTGAAGACCTCGACGATGCAGTGCATTCCTTCACTACCCTGATCCAGCAAGCAGCTTGGACTGCATCCTCACCTGATCGTCCCAAAAAATACCATAACATAAATCCTTTACCTCAAGATCTATTGGACCTAATCCATAGCAAACGTTGCTCTAGGACCCTTTGGCAAAGAACTAGGCATCCTGATGACCGGAAATTGTATAATTATTATTCCAAACAGGTAAAAAAGAAACTGGAAACTTTTAAAACCCAATCCTACAATTCCTACCTCTCCTCATTATCCGCTAGTGATAACTCCCTCTGGAACGTAACCAAAAAAATCCTTAAATTCCAGTCCATTTCCCATCCACTTCGCCGTGATGATGGTTCCTGGGCTTCGTCAGATGCGAATAGAGCAGAGGAGTTTGCTAAACATTTATCCTACACATTCACCCCTCACCCCGAACTCCATCCCAGCCACACTGCTGAAGTTGAAGAATTCCTCTCTTCACCAATTCCTCTCTCTCTACCTCCGAAACCTGTAAACCCCTCTGAGGTCAAATTCCTTATAAACAAATTAAAACCCCGAAAATCCCCTGGATATGATCTCCTCACTTCACAAATCCTCAGACAACTTCCCAAAAAAGCAATCATATTCCTTACCTATCTATACAACTGCATCCTTCGCACAACCAACTTTCCTTTGGTGTGGAAACATTCCATAATCATCCTGTTTCCAAAACCAGGTAAACCTGTTAATAACACATCATCCTATAGACCGATAAGCTTACTCCCGATCCTCTCAAAAATCTTTGAGAAAATCCTTCTCAAACGCATCCTACCCATAATCGAATCCCACAACATCCCTTCTCATCAGTTTGGATTCCGCTCAAGACATTCCACTGTCCAACAAGGCCTTCGTGTTGTGGACCATATATCCTCTGCACTTGAAAACAAGCATTATTGCACTGGTGCCTTTCTGGACGTAGCACAAGCTTTCGACCGGGTGTGGCACGATGGCTTGCTTTTCAAGCTCAAAACCCATTTACCCCAATCCTTATACCTAGTCCTCAAATCCTACCTCTCAAATCGTTCCTTTCAAGTCCGTTGTGACACCGCATTCTCCACTTACTATCCAGTTGAGGCTGGTGTTCCACAAGGCAGTGTCTTGGGCCCAGTTCTCTATATCCTCTTCACTTCCGATATCCCTTCCAATCCCGATACATTTCTAGCTACATTTGCTGATGATACTGCCATTCTATCTTCCCACTCAGATCCTCAAATAGCATCTCTAAACCTACAATCTCACCTCTCTTTGATTGAGCAGTGGTGCAACAACTGGCGCATCAAAATCAATGAATCAAAATGCAAACATATCACTTTTACCCTGCGACGCAGATCCTGTCCGTCAATCCTTTTTAATTCAATTCCACTTCCCTACTCAGACACAGTCCGTTACCTTGGCTTCCTTCTTGACAAAAGACTAACTTGGAACCCACATACCAGACTTAAAAGACAAGAACTTAACCGACGATATGGCCAGCTGTATAGATTACTAAGTAGGACATCCCATCTTTCGATTGAAAATAAACTTTTAATCTACAAGACCATACTGAAACCTATCTGGACCTACGGACTTGAACTGTGGGGAACTGCTAAACATTCGAATATCAAACGCATCCAATCCTTCCAGTCCAAAGTACTTAGAACAATAGTCAATGCCCCATATTATGTCACAAACAAGACCCTACACCATGACCTTAACATCCCATTTGTCCTCGACATCATCCCAACCAGATTCTCAAACTTTCACCAAAACCTTATCCATCATCCAAATCCTCTAGCTCAATCCCTATCCAGCTCCCTTCATCCCTACAATCCTCCACGAAGGTTAAAACGGCAGTGGCCCAGAGATCTCTTGTAAATATGCTTCTGGAGTCCTGGCAATGGCCAGCTTCTCCACTCATGTCCCGAGCGTCTGTGGCTCTAGTGCCCTCTTTCAGTCTCCATTGGCTTCTAATACCAGTGATGCGGCTGGAAAAGTGGCACTGGAATCTCCTGGAGTCTTGCTTTGCCTTCCACATGTGGGGGAAAAAGCCTGGCTCGGAGATTCTTGGGCGAATGTATATATTGTATATAGGTATGATTGTGTTTATAAGTTTCTTTTTATGTTATTGTTTATTTTTTTTTTCTTTTATTTTCTTTCTTCATCAGTATTATTTATTTACTTTTTATATTTATATTTATTTCTCTATTATTTGTATATATTGTTTGAATGAGAACTCTTAGCCCTAATACTTATAGCCCTCCAGTGGCTGATTGTATTATTATTCAATAAATAGATAAAAAAAAAAAAAAAACTCTTAGTTACATTTCCTAGTTTATTATAGTTTTTGAATTTGTTATATAGTTTTCTATATTTTTTATTTATTTACTTATTTATTATTATTATTTTTTTTTATGTATTGTATATATGGTATGAATTTGCCTCTCTCAGCTTTAATACTCAGTGCCCTTAAGTGTGGCAAAATGTATTATTACTCAATAAACAGATAGATAAAAAAAAAATTATTTGAATATTGATAATAATTATAAAGTTGATTCCGAACTCATTCCATTAATGAATTATTTTACTAACCTTGGAATTTGTTTATTGATTTATTTTATTAACACTTAAAAATAAGAATCTTTATCAAATTTGAATTAGATCAGGTACTGCCTCTGATTCGCTGCTTTACCGTATGCCCGATTTACATATTTATGGCAAATACACAATGGCTCATTCCAATGTTAATCATACTACCTCATTAATATCCCACGAGCTTTTTCCATTGTGCATTATAAATAGTCTAAAAGCATTATTTATTAAGCATTTTGTAAAAAAAAAAAAATAAGTAATTTTCATATTTAAATTCATCAGAATACGAAGTGTCATGGCCGCAATTACAGTAGTATGCTTGCATCGCTCTGTCGTTGTTTCCTTTTCATCAGGTTAATGCTTCAATTTCTGCTGCTATACAGTGTGAATAGTGTGCTTTTGTACATTTGAACATTTCCACATTAAAATATTGAGGTGAGAGACATTTATTAAAATTATGTTGACTATTTAATTGATATACATTCGGTAGAAACAGCTCAGCTGGCCGATAATTCCCTTTACGGGTCTTATCATATCAAGATAGATTCACGGTCAACGCCTGGTACCAACATTCCTTCCTTCGAGTGATATCGAGTTCGTATCTAAGAACTTTTTTTTTTTTTCTTTTTTTTCTTTTTTTTTCAATTATTTTTATTTGAGACTTTTAGTTTTATTTATTTATGTACATTGAGAAATGTTTTATTTTACCTGTAAATATTTTTGTAAATAACTTAGTTTTAAGAATTAATTTATTTTATTTCCATTTTAATTCCATTATAACTTTTATAGACTTTTAATTATTTTGTTATCATGGATCTTGTTAATACGTCGGGTGATGAATCGGAGGAAGAGACACCATTTTCCGAAATAAGCGAGACGGATTCGCAATATTTAAAAAGAAGAACACTCCAAAAGCGCAATAGAAATTCTGCCCCTGGATCGGCGGGTAACTCACCTACTAAGAAAAAAAATAAAGCTACCAAATCAAAAAAAATATCTGAAAATAGCAAATCTACACAAAACACCCGCAGTAAAACCACTGCAGCCAACAAATTAGAAACAGTTCCACCATCCACCTCAATCAGTAATTCTGTTACTACCAATATTTCATCAAATAAAACTCAGGAGCCAAAAACATTTTCGGATCCAGAACCACCACCTATTTTTGTATCAAAAATTAAAAATTTTATGTCCTTCGGGCAAGAAATTGCTGACTTGATAGGACAGCCTAATTTTCGATGTTATTCAAGAGTTAATGATATAAAAATTAACACTAACTCTAAAGAAAACTATAAAAAACTCATCGAGTATTTTACATCAAGAAAATACCAATTCCACTGCTATCAACTCAGACAGGAAAAAGCGTATAGAGTAATCTTGAGAGGTCTGCATTCAAGTACCACCACACACGCTATTAAAATCGGATTGGAAGAAATAGGCCACAGTGTCAGAAATATTTCACCCGTATTACATCCTAGGGAAAAATATCCGTTACCACTATTTTTCGTGGATCTGGAACCAGCAAAAAACAATTCCGAAATATTTCAGGTAACGAGATTAGTATACTCAACAGTCCATTTTGAGGAACCTAGACAGAAGCCCATAGTAGTGCAGTCCACAAACTGTCAAAATCTGAGACATACCAAAGCCTACTGCTTTCAAGAGGCCAGATGTGTGAAATGTGCAGGTTCACACCCATCAGACACTTGTCAGAAACCAAGGCACGAACCTGCGATATGTGCTCTTTGTGGTGAAGCCCACCCTGCGAGCTATGGAGGTTGTGAGGTTTATAAAAGTCTCCACAAGCAAAGATCCCATAATATAGCAGTAAGAAGCCAGAACCTTGTTCAGAAAAGTAACACAGAACCGCCTGAAATTGAAAATCTGGATGTTTTCCCAGTACTGCCGTCAACACCGCAAATCGTCCAACAACGGCCATCGACCACTGTATCAACGGACCTTCCTCAACAAGAATCCACCAAGCAACACTCCCAAACCACTATCATCAAGCAGCAACCTCGACATCAGGCGCCTCAGACCTTCAAATCCAAACCTAAAATCACTAATCCTCAGCATCAACCTCCACGTCAACAAATCCCCCCTCATTATCTTCCCCTAACGGTCAAACTTCCGCCGGAGCATCCGCATCCAGCACAATCCCATCCAAATCTCCAGATGAACCCACCATCATATGTACCTCAGAAATTTCAACCAACTCCTCGTACCCAACAACGGACCCAACCCCCTACCAATAACCCTAATCGCACAAATTACCAACCACAACCTCCTCCTGATCCGAATCCACAGATCCTTCAAAGCCAAACATCATCCGACATCAATTCTATCCTATCATCATTCCTGATAGACCTTCAACAGACTATCAAACCACTCATAACCCTTCTAACCAGATTCCTTTCCGAAATCCCATTCAATTTTTCTCGAACAAAAAGCCCCTAGCTATTCTCTTATGGAACGCTAATGGACTACAAAACCACCGTGACGAACTAGACATATTTCTTCATGACAATTACATTGACATTGCCCTCCATTCATTTCATTCAGGGAAACTCATTTCACACAACGATCAAAATTTTACATAACTGACTACATTACTTACAGATCAGACCATCCAGATAACACTTCCCACGCAGGCTCTTGCATCCTTATCCATAAATCCTTATCTCATTCCCTAATCCCTTTCACCCCAACTGACGCCATTCAATCAACCTCGGTAATCCTATCAACTCGCCCTTTCCATCTAACATTATCAGCTGTATACTGTCCTCCTGGAAATTCCCTTTCTCATGGCCTTCTTGATTCCTTATTCCAATCACTCGGATCACGCTTTATTGCTGGAGGAGACTACAATGCTAAACACCAACGATGGGGTTGTCGAACATCCAATTCCCGTGGTAATATCCTATCTCATGTCTCATATTCTAATAGTTATTCTATCCTCTCGCCCATGAATCCAACATATTGGCCAACATCCCTTAAAAAACGTCCTGATATCCTAGATATATTTATCACTTCTCAGATTTCCTCTTCCCTGACCACAATAAAATCCCTGGATGACCTTTCATCAGATCATAATCCAGTTCTGGTATTATTACATTCAAATCTCGTTCCTAAACCCTCACATCCGAAATTGATTACAGGACGAGTAGACTGGGACAAGTTTCGTCACGATTTGGAAAATAAACTGGACTTAAAAATTCCGCTTAAGACAAAACAAGACATTGACAAATCCATAGAAAAACTCACTACATCAATAGCTACTAGTATAAATGATAACACTTCCATCAATAAAAGCAATAACTCACGATATAGTAACTTGCCATTAAATATTCGAATCTTATTAAGAGAAAAACGCAGAGCAAGATCGAAATGGCATAGGACTAGATATCCTTCAGATAAAACTTACTATAACGAATTGACTAACAAAATAAAAATAGAAATTAGAAAATTCAAAACACAAAAATTACTTAACCTAACTGGTAATCTTACAACTACTGACAAATCTCTATGGACGACCACAAAAAAGATACTAAAGTTTAAAGACTTTAACCATCCACTATTAACTGAATCCCAAACCTGGTCCAAACCTTTAATCCACATCCTGATATAATTAATCCACATCAAATTGAATGTATTGAAGCAGAACTGGATATTCCACTCCAAATGACTCTTCCACCTAAAGCATTTCATCCTTCGGAAATATCTAATATCATCAACAGATTACCTTCCCGAAAAGCTCCTGGACACGACCTTATCACTTCCCAGATCCTAAAACTTCTTCCTCGGAAAGCCATCCTATTCCTCACTTACATATACAATGCTGTGCTCCGATGCACATATTTCCCTGATTCTTGGAAAATATCTATTGTCAAAATGTTACACAAACCTAAAAAACCACCCGAACACCCATCCTCTTACCGTCCTATTTCTCTGTTACCTATCATGGGCAAAATCCTGGAAAAACTCATCCTAAAACGCCTGTATCCCATCCTAGACTAATCATATTATCCCTGATCACCAATTTGGATTCCGCACATCGCATTCCACTATCCAACAATGTCACCGTGTGGTTGATGTAGTCTCCTCTGCATTGGAGCGCGGTATGTACTGCACGGGAGTCTTTCTCGACGTTGAACAGGCGTTTGATCGAGTCTGGTTCCCGGGTCTTCTGTACAAACTCCGAAAAGTCCTACCCCCTACATACTTCCTCATTATCCGCTTCTATCTTACTGATCGATACTTCAAAGTAAACCAAAATAATGTCTTCTCATCCCTCTTTGATCAATTTGCAGGCGTTCCACAAGGTAGTATCCTCGGTCCCATCCTCTACACAGTTTATACAGCTGACATCCCAACCCATCCTGACACTGTCATCACCACTTACGCCGATGACACATGTTTGCTATCTGTTAATAACGATCCTTTAATTGCATCCCAAACTCTTCTATCACATATCACAAGCCTTGAAGAATGGTGTAAAAATTGGAGAATAAAAATAAATTCCAGCAAATCCCATCAAATCACCTTTACCCTCCGTCGTAAACCTATGACGTCTTGTCCTACAGTAACTTTCAATAATACTCCACTTATTCCTGTTGAGCAAATCCGCTACTTAGGACTCCATTTGGATAAACGTCTTACTTGGAATCCTCATAGTAGACTGAAACGACAAGAAACTGCTCGACGTTTCCGACTGCTCCAACACTTACTAGACAAACGCTCCAAACTTTCTATTAATTACAAAAGACTTATCTACATAACTATAATAAGACCTATATGGACATACGGAGTTGAGCTTTGGGGCTCCACCAAACCATCGAATTCCTATCGTATCCAATCCTTACAATCCAAAATCCTCCGTAAAATCCTTAATGCTCCATACTTAGTCACAAATAAAACCATTCATAAAGACCTTAATGTACCATATGTCGCTGATTTAGCTCGAGCCAGATACTTATCCTTTCATAATAAACTTCAGTCCCATCGAAATCCGCTTGTTTCCACTCTTGCTTCTTTCTCGATTCCTGATAATCCTCCTAGGCGTCTGAAAAGAAGATCATCTTCTTACTTAAAATTGTTTAGAGAGTGCTACCACTGGGTAGTAACTCTTTAAGCCTGTACATGCCATTATTTATATTTGCGCATATTTACTTGTTTTATTTGTATACAGTTGTAAATTCCATTAAATAAACAAACAAAAAATTCATCAACTACTTACATACGGTCATTATAAAACTCTTTCCTTTTTTTCAAGATCTCAATTTAGATTCGGAGTTTTCCCTGTTACCTTTGCTAAACGGTTTTACAGTGTTCACTCCAATTTTACGGGTTCTTCTACATTAGCGCCTATTGGATCGAATTGTGTTACAACTGATTAAATCAGTCATCAGAAAGAAAAACAAATTAAAAACATCATTAATTTAGATGTTCAGGCTGCCATAAAATTGTCGAATTGACTTTTATTGAACGTCGATCTCTTGCAAGCCCCAAGGATCAACAAAATAATTTAATTGGCCGATTTCGAACTAAACTATTGCATATTACATATTGCATGTAAGAGAAATGTTTTTGTTGAATTAGAAGTAATAACTAAAAATATACTTATCTTAGGTAATTGCAAATAAATTCATAGTAAAGGAGAAAAAAAAATCATTCAAATAAAAGTAGAACTTGTCTTTGTTTATTTTAAGGGAGTTATTAAATTTTAAGTTTAATAAGTTTTAAAAGAGTTAAATTATATTAATTTCTGTTTTTCATAAAATGATAATTTGCGACTATTATTACCGCACTCCAACCAGACTATATAAACCTCATTTATGTAAATTACTAATTTGTTTAATAACCATTATTTATTAAATTTTTTGGGGAGAGATAACGTCATTTCTAGTGTTGCCCAAATGCAAGACCGAGACGAGTCTTGGTCTTGCAAACTCAGTCTTGGTCATGGTCTTCGTCTTGCACAACTCGTGACAGTCTTGCCGTTACTTACTAGCTCATTATTATAGAGATATCACTGTATTTTTTTAGATAGGAGAAACATAACTAAGCCCGAATGAAAAATTAGAGGAGTTAAATGCAAAAGTATATTGGTTATACCAATTATTAACGTATAGTAACTAAGATTATCAAGTATTAGTAACTATTTTGCCTTAATTTTTATTTTAAAAATCTATTTTTATTACCAGTTCTTGGTCTTGCAACAGTTATCCGGTTTTGGTTTTGATTTTGATTTTGAACAACACTAGTCATTCCCCGAGAGGTGCCAAACGCCGAAGGCTAGCACTGTTCTTATCCTTTATTATTGATGATGATGAGATCCGTGAGAAATGGCCCTTTTGCTGAAATCTGTTATTGTTCCCTAGGTCTTGTTAATGGGTCTTATTATGCCCAATCAGTGGCTTTTAGATACCTACTTCTGAGCTATCAAAGATAGTTTTGTCATTTGGGTTATGAGAATCGTCAATTGGGATGGTCACCAATTGGGACATATTGGGGAATAAACTCAATTATTTAAATAAGGATTAAATTAATATTATTACTATCGTTGCGGAGTAAGTCTATTGTGTAACGGAGCATTAAAACTAAGTCTTGTTTTTAGAGTGGGAGTGGATTAGTAATCGTTGCCGAGTCGAGTGCACATCAACAACATGGCAGTAAGGGCATCGGTGAACCTAAAAGGTTGTTTAGCAAGAGTCGCACTAAACAAGTGAGTACGTTTTACTTAATCAACTGAATTATTATTTTTTTCTTGTTATTAAAAATGAAATATAATAAAAGGAAGAATTTATCCACCAATGCTTATAACATGGAACTGATGATGAAAGTAAAATATATAAGAGTGGTAGAATACGTTTGTACACAATTATAAATGGTGTACGACACTAACGGATCGAAGATTTAATTTAGGGGAGAGGACTGAAAGATTTTTTTTGTATGTATATATTAGGATAATTACTTCGGAAGAAAGAAATTAACAAACTATCTGAATGAAATGGTGTTTAAGTGATTCTTCAAGTCCTATTAAATGTAATTAGACGAATAATAACACTTTCAGAGATAATGTTTTTCCTAAAACATGGTTATATTTTATCATTTTTTGGGGAGAGAGGGAGGAGGCTTCAGCCCGAAAGCCTCTCCCCTTCTCCCGTAGATCCGCCTGGGCTGTACGAAATATTAATGAATCACATAAAATTTTTCCGTGGGCGAGATGGCCGAATAGGCTAACACGTGTGCACGGCACAACCGTTGCCCGGCAACCTGATATATGACCAATGTTATAAGAATAGTCACGAGTTCGCGTCCCCGTGCCAAGGCGTCTTTTAAATCCCCGTCCTCTGGCTCGGGAAAACCCCTTATAGCCTTAACGGCGAGGAAGGGGAGGACACAAAAAAAAAAAAAAAATCCATTTTTCATGAAATTAATTTCACATACTTTAATACAAAACAGATTCTGATTAGGTCTTCATTTAAAATTAATTTAATATATTAAAACTATTATTGTAATTTTAAAAAATAAATATTAGTCAAAACTAATTTAATCTATTAATTAATTTTATCAATAGTACATTTATAAATCATTTAATATATTGGAGAATATATTTGATTGATTAAAAAATTCTACACCAATTTCTTCATTATAATAATTTGTACTGACTGATATATGTGTATGCGTGTGTATATATATATATATATATATATATATATATATATATATATATATTATTTATCCGTGATATTTACAACTGTATTAAAAGAAATGCATTTAATAAATTTGTACAAATGGATATGATGACATGAAAACACCTGTTGAGAAACTACCTACTTGTAGCATTAAAATAATACAAGCTGACCCGTGCGAATACTCCGCCCAAACCTAATAATTGTATCTGATATTACTACATTAAGAAGTCAGCACAACTTCCATTCAACAATGTTTGATATGCAAAGGTTTATTACATAAAGGGTTATTATATATTTATTATATTTATATATATATATATATATAAATAACTTGATCCTCTCCAATCTGGTTTCCGTCCCAGCTACTCCACACAATCCGCCTTAATTAAAATCACCAGCGACATTCAAACTGCAATAGATGATAAAAAGTTAACCATCCTTATCCTTCTCGACTTCTCCAAAGCCTTCGATTCCATTAACCATTCCATCCTTTTCAACAAACTGAAATTATTATCCTTCTCCAATAGTTCCATCTCTTGGTTTCAATCTTTCCTCTCACAACGTACCCAAGCAGTCTCCATACCCAACCAACCACTATCTGCCTTCCTTTCTTTATCCTCTGGAGTGGCCCAGGGTTCAAGCATATCTCCTCTCCTTTTCAGCTCCTACATTAACGACCTACCTAAATCAATTCTCCATTGTTCCCATCACCTTTATGCAGACGATTCACAGATGTACCTATCATTTTCCCCTCCTGAGTTACTGGGGGCATTTGCCAAGATCCAAGAAGACCTAGATCGAATCAGTGCCTGGGCAAATGTAAATGGATTAAGGTTAAATGCCGCCAAAACTCAGGCCATTGTCATTGCTTCCAAGCCCCTTCTTAGATCCCATCCAGACTTTCCCATACTTCACCTAAATGACCAGCCAATCTCCTTCTACTCCTCTGTTAAAAATTTAGGATTTTTCATTGATCAAAACCTCCTTTGGAATCACCATATTTCTCATATCTCTCGACGGACAATTTCCACCCTCAAACTATTCCATCGCTTCCGCCATCTCCTACCTCAATATACGCGTAGACTCCTAGTTTCCTCTCTCATTTTCCCCCACTTTGACTATAGCTGTGTGGTGTATGATGGTCTCTCTGTGGAGCTCCGTGATAGACTGAAAAGACTAATGAACAGCTGCGTAAGATTTGTGATCGGGGCCCCAAGATACTTCCCAAGAGTCTCACCACTACGCTGAGTTAAGGTGGCTCTTCCCCTCCTTCCGAAGACAATATTTTCTAGGTACGTTCCTCTACCAAATCATCAACAGCCATCGTCCTTCTTACGCCTACAACCTTCTCCAGTTCAAATCCTCAGTCCATTCCCTGTCCACAAGATCTCGACCTTCTAACCTTTACATGCCTTCTCATAGATCCGCCTCATTCCAAAATTCCTTTGTTGTTTACTCTGTCAATTTCTGGAATTCCCTCCCTATCAAAATTCGACATTCCCCATCCATATCCAAATTCAAAACCATCCTATTCCAATTCCTATCCCAAGAACAGTCAGATAATTGCTAACCATTCGAGCTGATTTTAATAGAGAATTTGATACATACAAATTCATTGATTGATTCATTGATACATTTTTAATTTTAATTCTTTATTATTTTCTCAAAAGTGTAAAAGTGTGAGTCTATCAGTGCAAATAGCTTTAAGTGCCTTGTCATAGTATTAATTGTTTTGTATATAGTTTCATTTTTTGTATATAGAATGTTTACGTTATATTTTTTTTACATTATTTCTTTTTTTCGATTGATTTTATTTTGTTATTCTCAAGGGACTGTGTCCCAGAATAAAATTATTTTTCTATCTATCTATTTATATATATATATATATATATATATATATATATATATATATATATATATATATATATATATATATATTTTTTTTTTTTTTTTTTTTATTATATTATATATTTAGTTATAAATTGAATTTACGGTCTGCCATGGTTTAACCATTGTATTTCCTTAAACTTATAATTTAAGTATTAGCTTTTTCCTTCATTAGATTATCATGAATTAACATAAGCTTCTAAACACTGCTTTGAACATCTGATGACGATAAAAGCCTCAGCCAATTCAGAGTCATATTTCTGCAACCTTAAGAAACAACACAAATATTGAACAAAAAAAGACTGTATATCTGTATCTATCATCTACCACCCTATATCTAATATCTATCATCCATGATATGAACAGTCGATTAACATCCTTCAAAAATGTTTAAAAGAAGGCACATTTATATAAATAAAAATAAAAATAAAATTAATAATTTAAAAAAAATACAAAGTTTTGAAAATTATAAAACGCTTTCCTTTTTTTCAAGATCTCAATTTAGATTTGGAGTTTTCCCTGTTACCTTTGCTAAACGGTTTTACGGTGTTCACTCCAGTTTTACGGATTCCTATTACATTGACGCCTATTGGATCGAACTGTGTTACAACTGATCAAATCACTCATCAGAAAGAAAAAAAAATTGAAAACATCATTAATCTAGATGTTCAGGCTGCCATAAAATTGTCGAATTGACTTTTATTGAACGTCGATCCCTTGCAAGTCCCAAGGATCAACAAAATATTTTTTTTAAAATAAATACGAAGTGATACATAATATACTGTACCCCTGAAAACCGGAGAAATTCCTAAATTGGTAAAAAAACTCTCAGGTGTAACAGAATCTTTGTTGTGTAACAAATAATAAACGTACGATTTCAATGATCTTTTTAACTTGTTCTAGAGAATTTAGTAAGCTTTCAAATACTCATAAATAATATATTAGAAGGTAAGAGGAATCCCAATCTCGTCACCATAGTGACAAACCATTTCACTGTTCGAACTCTCCTCCTGTCGCTGACCATTCATACACTAAATCAATCCTCAGGATCTCCAAATTCTCCAAATTCTATGCTACTATATCCGTTGGAAAGCTGAATTATTGCTCATAAATCCGGTTTTTTTATTTAATGCCTACATACGGTATAAATAAACAAAAACTCCTTATAGGTTTTTATTTTTTATCTCCATTTGTAGTTTGTTTACGGAGGTACTGTTGATGTCTGTCATTTTGTGTAGTTTATATGACCCTAAATTCCTGCTAAATTTATTGTAGATAACTAAAGTCATGTTGAAGTTATAACACGTTTTTTGATTTTCGAAAATAAAATGGCTAAGTTCAGATTTCGTGATTTTTTTTTTTTATTGCTATGAAAATTCGTATTTGGTGGTTTTCTGAGATGCGAAATACAAACCTCAACTTGATTTCTACTTAAAAAAATATGTGAACCCACTTTGCTCGTTGGGTCTTAAACAAGAAAAGAAGATAGCCCCATGATATCCCAACATTGATATCTTATGTATATCTCAAATATATTCCTTTTCCGGCTATCAGAAGCGATGGATTCTGACGAATGAGGTATCAACAGAAAGAGAATATCACGTAGAGTGCGCGAATCGTAATTTCAATTCTTAATTTTTACCAGGACTTAAATAAAATTGAGTGTAAAGGTGGGAGGTTTCAAACCATATGATGGTCCCCTCTCAACAAATCGAGACGTTACAAATGAATTCATAATTTGCGAATAACTCGAAAACTGCACAATGTTCGGTACATTATACATATGGGTATTTGAAAGCTTACTAAATTCTCTACAAAACGTAAAAAAAAATAGCATCGAAATCGATAACAGTTGTGTCTGATAAAATATTTTCACTGCATTTTTATATACTTATTTTCGGTTTATAATAATCACTAGAGCTCTATTATACACAATTAAAACTATAGAAATATGTTAAATATATTTAGCATATTTCTATAGTATGAGTAAAATGTCAAAATGAAACAATTTGTACCGACCCAACGAGCAAAGTGGGTTCAAATAGTTTTTAAGGAGAAATCAAGTTGAGGTTTGTATTTCGCATCGCGAAAAACCACCAAATATGAATTTTCATAGCAATCAAAAAATAAAAAAAAATTTCACGAAATCTGAAGTAAGCCATTTTATTTTCGAAAATCAAAAAAAGTGTTATAACTTCAACACGACTTTAGCTATCTACAAGAAATTGAGCAGGAATTTAGTGTCACATAAACCACACAAAATGACATTAACAGGACCTTCGTAAACATACTACAAATGGAGATAAAACGGCTTTATGAGCAATAATTCAGCTTTCCAACGGATATAATAGCATAGAATTCGGAGAACATCCTAAAGATTGATTTATTGTATGAATGGTCAGCGGCAGGAGGAAAGTTGGAACAGTGAAATGGTTTGTCACTATGGTGATCCCTCTTACCTTCGTATATATTATTATCGCAGTAATTTTTTTTTAATTTAATTTTTTATTTATGGCAACGTTTCAACCCAAACATGTGGGTCACCTTCAGGGCTAAAAATTAAAAGACCCTAAAGACCCATGTGGCTATAATATGGCCTATTTGGACGGAATTGAGCAATGGGACTCCACTATACAACCGAATTCTTCTCGTATGCAATCTTTCAATCCAAAAATCTTCTTCAAATGCTCCTTACTTTATTATAATAAAATCATTTGTAATGAGTTTAATGTTCCTTATCTTGATGATTTGGCCAAATCCAAGTACCTTTCCTTCCATAATAAACTTCAGAACCATCCCAACCCTCTCGTTTCTAACCTTGCTTCCTCTTCAATTTCTTATAAACCTTCCTGGTTTGTAAACCGAAATAGTATGATGCCAAGGACATATGGGATGTTAATGTCATGGTGAAAGGTCTTGTTTGTGACATAATGTGGAACGTAGTTATTGTTCAAATTACATTGTATTGGAAGGATTGAATATGTTTGATATTTGAACATTTATTTTCCCCCTCAATGCAAGTCCGTAGGTCTAGATTGGTTTCAGTACTGTGTCGTAGATTAATAATTTGTTTTGAATTGAAAGATAAGATGTTCTGTTCAGTTACTGCATAATTGGGCGATTCGGTTAAGCTCTTGTCTTGTAAGTCTGGTGTGTGGGTTCCAGGACAGTCGTTTGTCTAAAAAGAAGCCAAGATACCTGACTGTGCCTGAAATGTGAAGTGAGATAGAGTTAAATAGTTATGGCGGATAATCACCGGAGGGTGAAAGTGATTTGTTGACATTTTGATTCATTAACTTTGATGCGCCAATTGTTGCACAACTGCTCAATCAGGGACATGTGTCTTGAAGATTGAGAGATGCTATATTGGGATCTCAGTGAGAAGCGGTATCATCTGCAAATGTTGCCAGAAAGATATCGGAATCTATAGAGATGTCAGCAATGAAGAGAATGAAGAAGATAGGAACCAAGAAATTGCCTTGTGGGACACCAGCCTCAATTGGATAGCAATTGGAAACTTCTGAGTCAGAGAGGACCCGAAATGAACGATTGTAGAGATAGGATTTGAGCTTGAAAAACAAACCTGCCACACCCGGTCGAAAGCTTTAACCACGTTCAGAAACGCACCAGTGCAATATTGCTAGCTTTAAAGGGCAATAAATATGTGATCAACAACACGTAGGCTTTGGTGCACTGTGGAATACCGTTAACGGAAACCAACCTGATGTGAAGGAATATTTTTGTATTTTGTAGCTGTTATTAAAATTATCAATAACCCATAAATTGATAACTTTTGTCATTTAAATCTGTTAATTATTTATGATTCATATATCTGCTTAATTAATTTAATAATTGTTATTACGAAAAATTGTCGACCTCCAATCTTCGAAATTTACAAAATATTGAAGTTAAATTAAAATTGCATTAAGATATTGTCATTCAATTAATCTGTTTTCTACTTCAATCCGGAAGATTTCCTTGAAACTAGGCGAGTATTGGTTTTATAAAAATAAAAAATAAATCATAGAACGAATATCCTCTTTACCCAATGAAATGTGGAGTAAATTTTATTCTTTGGAACAGGTAATAACTTTGAACTAGAAAAGCAAAATTTTAAACCTCATATTATTAAAGAAGGTTTTTCAATTTATTAATGAAATTTTAAAAGGATAGAGCTAAATTAATACAAAATATTGAAAAAGAAAAAAAATAACAAAAACAACATAGCTGCCATTTGTTAACGCCTTTTATACTTTTGGTATGATATATATATATATATATTTTTTTTAGTCATACTTATGTTTTATATCTATCGCATTGACTTATTTTAGGAAAAATGTTTATGGAAGACATAAGCTAGACACAGAAATTGACAAATATTATAAGACACTCCACAATGTAGTAATTCCAGAATTTATGGATATGGTTAAGGAAATACCAGGCTATCCACAAAGAATTAAAAAGGTAGGCTATCCAGGCAATATATTTTTTTTTCTAATAGCTTATTTATTGAAATATATTACAATCTGTCTCAGGGACATTAATAATAGTGTTCATAGATCACATTCACACTCTATGTACAGTAAATAAAATAAATGATACAGAAAAATAATATATATACAATAAACAAGAATAAAATAACCTAAAAATAGATAAATAAAAAGAACACATGCACACCTATATACAATATTTACAACTTGGCGAGAGAACTCCAAACCAGACTTGTCCCTCCAACTGTGGAGGGAAAAGTATGACTCCAGGAGTTCCCTGCACTCCTCTCTCAACCGCGTCACTAGGGCTAAACCCAGTGGAGATTGAGCAAGAGTGCTTTAGCCACATACACTCATGTCGTGAGTGGAGAATCTGGCCATTGCCAGAACTCCAATATTTACAAACTATAAAAGATCGCGGGGCCACTGCCGTTTTAACCTCCTTGGAGGATTATATGGATGGGTGGTGCTGGATAGAGATTTTGCAAAGGGATTTGGATGATGGGTAAGGTTCTGGTGGAATTTGGAGAATTTTGCTGGGATAAGGTCTAGGACAAATGGGATATTAAGGTCATGGTTTAGGGTTTTGTTGGTTACATAGAAAGGAGCATTGGCTATTGTTCGAAGGACTTTTGATTGGAAGGATTGGATGCGTTTGATGTTAGTAAATTTTGCTGTTCCCCACAGTTCAAGTCCGTAAGTCCAGATAGGTTTCAGTATTGTCTTGTAGATCAGTAACTTGTTTTCAATGTAAAGTTTTGATTTTCTGTTTAGTAGCCAGTATAGTTGTCCGTATCGTCGGTTTAGTTCCTGTCTTTTAAGTCTAGTATGAGGTTTCCACGTTAGTCGTCTGTCTAAGAGAAAGCCAAGGTACCGGACTGTGTCCGAGAAAGGAAGCTGAATGGAATTAAAGTGTACTGGTGGACAGGAACTGCATCGGAGCGTGAAAGTTATGTGTTGGCATTTGGATTCGTTTACTTTAATTCGCCATTTATTACACCAGTGCTCAATCAGGGAGAGATGTCTTTGAAGGTTTAAGGATGCTATATCAGGATCTGAGTCGGATGATAGAATGGCGGTGTCATCAGCGAAAGTTGCCAGGAAGGTATCGGGATGGACAGGGATATCGGCGGTAAAGAAGATGTAAAGGACGGGACCCAATACGCTACCTTGAGGAACACCTGCCTCAATTGGATAGCAATTCGATAATTCACTACCGCAGCGAACTCGGAAGGTACGATCTGAGAGGTAAGAACGGAGGACAAGGTACAAGGACTGAGGAAGATAGGTTTTCAGCTTGGAAAGAAGACCAGCGTGCCATACCCGGTCAAAAGCTTCAGCTATGTCCAGAAATGCACCCGAGCAATATTGCTTGCTTTCCAATGCTGCGGAAATATGATCAACCACTCGGAGTCCTTGTTGGACTGTGGAGTGTTGTGGAATCCGAACTGATGTGAAGGAAAATTTTGGGATTCTATAAAGGATAGGATTCGTTTCAGGAGGATCTTTTCAAAGATTTTTGAGAGAATCGGAAGTAGGCTAATTGGTCTATAGGACGTTGAGGTGTTGGGAGGTTTGCCTGGTTTCGGAAACAGGATAATAGTGGAATGTTTCCACAAGAGAGGAAAGTGGGTGGTTCTTATGATGGCATTATATAAGTAGGTGAGAAATATAACAGCTTTAGGAGGAAGTTGTCGAAGGATTTGAGAGGTAAGGAGGTCGTATCCAGGAGATTTACGGAGAGGAAGTTTTTGTAAGTGATGTTTGACCTCAGAAGGATTAACTGCTTTAGGTGGCAAGGAAAGTGGAATGGGAGATGTAAGCAATTCTTCTACTGTTGTGGTATGGGTGAGGTTGGATTCCGGATGAGAGTTAAATGTTCTGGAGAGGTGTCTGGCGAATTCCTCAGCTTTATCTTCATCAGACGCTGCCCAGGAGCCATTGCTTCGACGGAGGGGATGGGAAATATGATGGGATTTTAGGATTTTGTTGGTGATCTTCCATAGGGGATTGTTATGAACAGAGAGGGAAGTAAGGTAGGAGTTGAAGGATTGGTATTTGAAGGTGGCCAATTCCTGCTTTAATTTTTTACTGTAAAAATTATAGGAGCGACGATCGATGAGGTGTCTAGTACGTTGCCATAATAATCTGGCTCGGCGTTTGGTTTGGATTAGGTCTATGAGGTGTTGAGGTAACTTATTTTTCTTGGGAGTTCTTGAGGAGTGGTTTGGAGAGGAAGCAGTCCAGATTGCTAGTTGGATAGTGGTGGTGAAAAGGTGTACGGCATTGTCAAGGTCATCTGGGGTTTTTAGGGTTATTCTGAGGTCAATTTTATTGGACAGGATTTGGTGATAGAGTTTCCAGTTAACTGGGCCTCTGATGAAGGACGGTGGAGAAGACTTAGGAATAGGAGCAAGAGATAATTGGAGTAATAATGGACTATGATCTGAGGATAGTTCGGCAAGACGGGTAAGGGAATGATTGAGAGGACCTAAGCCACTGTGGATGAAAAAATCAAGGATATCGGGATTGCGGTTAGGATCTGTGGGCCAGTAAGTAGGTGACTTAGGAGGAAGGATACTGAAACGTTGGGAATTGAGTGCAGATAACAATGTTCTGCCACGAGAGTTCGTGGTTCTAGAACCCCATTGATGGTGTTTGGCGTTTAAATCTCCACCCAGGATGAAATTATGACCTAAGGAGTTGAGGAGAGAACTGAACTGGACTTTGGATATGGATCTGTTAGGAGGTCAATATGCTGATGCAAGGGTGACTGGAAAGGAGAAGGTTTTGATTACAATAGCGGTTGACTGTAGGAAATCTTGAGTGGGTAATGGGAGTAAGTGATGGGAGAGGGATTGGTGTACGATGACAGCAGTACGGTATGTTAAATACTGTGGGATTTTCAAATGCTGTTTTATGGTCAATCGAGTTTCTGTAATAAGGGCTACGTCAATGTTCTTGTGTTGTAGTAAAGCTGTTAGTTCGTCAACGTGATTTCTAACACCATTCGCATTCCAAAGGAGAATGGATATGGGTTTTGGGATGTGAGTCATTAAGGATTTTTTAAAGGAGGGATGAGGTGAGATACGAGATTTGTAAGGAGTGATATGAGTGGAGTAACTAGGGATTTGAATTCGGTGAGGAAAGATGCTAACAAACTGGTGAGATCTGTTGCACTTGAAGGAGGAGGAATTTGAGGTTGTTGATGATTATGTGTGTTAGGATGAACAGAATATTGAGGTTGGGGCTGAGGTAGTTGCTGCGACAGGGCTTCACATGTATTATTGGGGTTCTTACCTCCAAGTAGTTCGGAGTATGATAAATTATTATTAACTGTTCTAGAAGGTTCTCTTCTTGGTCTGGTTGTCTCATCTTGAATCCGGTTCTTCTGGTATCTGGATTTGAGGCTCTTATAGGTTTGGCAGCCTTTGTAGTTGGCCGGGTGTCCCTCCTGGCATAGTGCACACACTGCAGGATCTTGTATTGGTTTGGTGCACTCCACAGATTTGTACTGTTCACCGCATTTCACGCAACGCGGCAGATGGTGACAATAAGTTTTCGTGTGGCCATACGCCTGGCAATTGTGGCACTGTACAATTTCCTTCTTGGGGTATGGCTTCTCTATCTTCACGATAGTGTAGTACAATCTCTTGGTGTCACATATTTTTTCAATACCAGGTGATGGCTCTAGATCCACGAAAAATAAAGGTAGTGGAACTTTATTACTTACTCCTGGCTGCTCCTTATTCTCCTTCAGAACGTTGGTTACCTGACGCACTTTGAAACCAAGCGTCGCTAGTTCTTCTTTTATCACTTCAGTTGGGGTTGAGGAGTGTAAATTTCTTACCACCACTCGTAGCGATCTCTCCTGTTTCAGCTGGTATGTGTGGAAATTTGCATTCGTTTCGGACAGGTACTTCACAATTTTTCGGTAGGTTTCTGCAGTATCTGGTGTTATTTTTGTATCGTTTGTCCTATTGAGGCAAGAATAACTGCCGGAGCAGATTTCGTTTAGTTGTGTACACAGTAGTTGAAAATTTTTGATATTTTTTACAAACATCGGAAGAGGCCTTGGTTCCCTAGGTACTGCTGCTGACTCCATTACTTCTCTGTCATTATGAAGCACTTGGAACGGGTTTGGAGTGAAGAAAGGAGATTCTTCAACCATTTCTTGCGAAGAGGTACCTGGTTGAGGCTGAGGTTCTGTACCTGAAGTTTTCACTGTGGTTATTGGAGCAATTTCTCGCAGGCAGCGACGAGTTCTTTGTTTCGCTGGTGAATCACGAGGGTTACTAACGCCGTCTGACCGAGTCCTTTTAGTGGGCACCTTACTGGACATCACTTGCTGACTATGCCGCATATCATAAGAGAAAAAAAAATTTAAATTTAAATTAAAAAAAAAAATTAAAAATTAAATAAAAAATGTAGCAAACAGTAAATAACAACTGCTCTAGTGTACACTTCTACTGTATTCAGTAAATAATCAAAGAGATTCCGCTGAAAAATAGGCAAAAACTGAGAGAAGATTTCAGAACACGTCCTTCGCATCAGCTGATCCACTGCCTTCGGCAATGTATTAATAATATGTATAGAATAGAATAAGAATGTTCCTTATAATCCGTACACACACTTGATCTCATCAATGCACGAAAAGATACGTCGCAACAGATACATAAAGCGATCATGAGTCTGCTCTATTCCCAAGCCTCATTTTTTTCGGCCTTGTTGATGATTAAGATTATGATTGTTGATTATTCTCAGTTTCCTGAGCACTTACAGGACATTTTTTTCTTAATTTTATTTTATTTTTGTTCTCCCCTTTCTCGGCTTTTAGGCTAAACGGGATTTTCCCGGGTTAGGAGGTGAAGGTGGGAGATTAATGCATTAACATCCGTTAGCTCACTCGTCCACCCCGCCCCTAGGACATTGTTTATTCCTTTGGTGTATCTCTAGGTCATACTCTATCTAGCAGTAGAGGATACTGGATTTCATTATGAGATGATTCTTCTTCTTTCCCTTCCTTTTTTATGAAAGTGAATCTAACCATCGGTACCATGTATGCCCTTATTTCTCCTATCGACTTCCCTCATCATCGTTCTAATCTGGAAAAGTGGTTTTCGTAAGACAGTCGTGGTCCACCCTGAGGTCTTCTGACTCCCTAAGTATATATTATACCGTAAAATTTATAATAAAACTTTTTAAATTATCAACAAAACAAAAAATAATCATCGGAATCGAAAAAGTATTAGCGATGATACAGCTTATTCTATTTTTTACACATTTTTTAACTTATTACTTTCCTACCTATAGTAGGTAAGTGAAGTATTGCAATCGGATCCAATTTCCGACATGCGGTTTTCGACGGACCTCTACGTTTCAGAGCCCCCTGAGTCCGAAAAACTTATTTTTAGCCATTGGTCTGTCTGTCTGTCTATCTGTCTCTCTGTCTGTAAAGATATAAAAACTTTTCTGAAATAAGTAGGAAAGTTGTGTGAGTGGACACATCACATATTTTATTTTGTAGGGTTTTGACTACTGATGTATTTGACACAAATTGGATGTTCGCTGCGCAATAAGTGAAACTTTTTAGCCTGTTTTTTTTTTTTTTTAAATGATGAAATTCCCTACAAAACTATTTAAAAATCGTTCATTTCGGACAACTATTACCGAAGATACAGCTATTCGATTTGTTAAATAAGATTATGAGTTCGAATCCCCGTGTCAGAAAGAGGAGAGAGAAAATAGAAAAGTAAGTGAAAGTAAAAAAATTTAGTGTCCGCACCATACAAGTTTTACTATTTCCTCTACTTTAACATGAATTATTGTCTGACAAAATTGGGCTATGGCAAAAAGTTTTTGATTAGCAATAATAGAGTGTATTGAATTTTTTACGCTGATCTTCCACAAGCCAGTTTTATTGCTTTATTTTATCAAAGAAATCGTACTCAAATCTTTTCTTTGATCAATTTTCAGTAAAATAAATCTAATTAATTTTGTTTTTCTTAATGCATATACTTAGAGATATAAAAGCTTTTTTGAAATAAGTAGGAAAGTCGTGTGAGTGGACACACCAAATTTTTAGATTTCACTAGCATAGAGTGAAGTTGGAAGGTACTCATACACTGCTTTGTATGAGTACCCTTCCTCTCTTATCAACGATGAAATTGCAGATTTGGAAGTAAATAGCTTTTCTAATCCTCATCATCGACTTTCCCATTCCTACTTATTATAACACCCAGATATGTGTAATCATCTGTTTGTTCAAGGGGCTGGTCATTACATATTACATTGATTGTCTGTGGCTCCCTTCCTTTTCAGAAAAATTCTGTCAAATTGCTGTGCAAAAAGTGTTTAATCGTTGACCCGATCGCAAAACATTCCTCACCTAGGAGAGGTAGGAAAGTAAAAATATATTTCATAATATTGGTAAAATTATTAGATTCCAATACATGGTTTTGAACATACAATTTAATATAACTCCTTCAGCCTAATAATTAATAGTAAAATATATTTTTTTAGGTTTATAAACATTGAGTTTATCTGATGGATGTAATTCAGTTATTGAAATTATTTTATTCTATTTCAGTGCATTTCACATACCACTCCAGCATATTATGACGGGTGGAACTTCAGCATCGAATTAATGTATAAAACAGTGGCAGATGAACACCATCAAACAGAAAAGAACTTGGAAAAGTGTAGAATACTTAGAACTTTGATGGATGTGGTATGTTACATTAATTATCAAAGGAATGTTTTTGTAAATTTCATACACATCGTATAAAAAGGAGAAGGATGGGATTATAAAAGGTTTTATGTAATTTTGATGCACTTATTAAGGTGTTGCATTGAAAATCAAGATCGAAATTGATAAAGCCATACCTAAAAGTTTAGCTCCATCAAAAAAATATTTTCCAAAAAACCGACGATATGTCTAAAAAACACACAGCCCTAAAATACTTATCAGATCATTCATTAATGCATCTTGTAAAAGGAACTGTGTAGCCTAAATATGAATTAAAATCATTATCTTGGCTGTTTCTTATAAAGACCTCACAAAATGAATATGAAAAATCAATGCCAAGAAATGTGTGAGCAATATGATATTACCTTCGGTTAAGATCGCGTAAGGATCTTAATCAACCTTCTGGATAGGTCACAGTGAAAAATAATGTTTCAAGGTTATAATCGGAATAATTCCAACGACACAGCCTTATGTCTCCAAATGTATGCAAAGGATTAAAAAAAAAAAAAAAACAACCGTCAAATTAGGCGTCGATGATCAAGGACTTTTAGGTCTATAAACAGCAACAAAAACCCTCTAAGTTTCGCCAAATCAGACATGAAGTGGAGTGATCATCCATTTCCTTTTCTTTTCTGCCCTGATGTAGTGCGGTTAGACTTTTTTCAATTATAACCTAACATTGATTTTCTGTCTCTTAGAGAGTTTCTTTTGCTGATTTAAGTTAGTATTTTTAAGAATGCCTAATCAATCAGTCTATAAGGTATTAAGGTTTTCCAATTTCAATTTTCATAACGTATGCTTACAGAACTATGCGATGTCAAGTATAATTGATGACTATGTAGATAAAGGTGAGTACAGACACGGTAAGAAGATTTGGGCTTCCATATGCGAAGGGGGTCAAGAAGCTGCAATTTATGATTCCATTTCTGTCCACTACTTGATATTGCTGATGCTTCATCGCCACTTCAGGAATGACCCAGGATACAGCAGGCTGTTAGAACTACATAGTACGGTAATATGAAATTTTTCTATTTTTTATTTATTTTTTTTTGTTGGGAAAAGTGTGTGCACAGCTGAGAGACCGAATGTAATAGTTTAAGTGTGGGCGGAGTGGCCGAATGGGCTAACGTGTGTGCATAGCACCGCACTTGAAAAGAAAAATGCAAAGTTGCTGCAAATCAGTTTTTAAGGCTAGATCTCTTAGTGTTTTGAAACAATGTCAGCTAAAACCTCTTTACCGTGATTGGATAAAATGTGTTCATTTGATTTCTCAATTCATCGATTCCAATAAACATTTTTGTAATGGTTTATACTTTAATTAAATTAATTTTATATATATATATATATATTTTCTATGTAGATTTAATCAAATAGAACTGAATTATTCTTAATAATCACAGCCATTGTTGTATTCACTTTTGTTTTTAAACACATATAAGGTTCGTGGCAGAGGGGCGATAGGAAACACGCTGGATATTCTTGATCGTAAGGAAAACTTCGATGATAACACATTGTGGAAACATTCTGTCCAAAACAAAGCAGCGAATATGGTATATCCTGCAGCAGTCACGGGCCTGGTTCATGTAAGTTTCTTGGCACTATATATTATAATCTGCGTATATAACAAACATAAATATATTCATAGATTATGTTTATATCTGTGTGTATATATTCATAAAAAAAGTTGATTAGCTTGGCCTCTCTAAAAACGTGTTCGTTTTCTAGGATGAGAACGGTATAAATTAGTATAAGGTCTACGGAAAATGAAAAATACCTGCTAAAGATAGTTCTTAAAGTCTAATCCTTTTAGTTAATTATGTCGACTTTTATATTACTGGAGGGAAATAAACGTTCCCATTTAACCCACATAAAATATCTGTGTAGAAACTTTAAACTTTAAACATTTATTTTACGCTTAATTTAACATTTATTTTAGCGATATATATATATATATATCGCTACTAACTTAGAGTCTATTCAAGTAGGAAAGTAACCTACTTGATGTACTATTTACAATTCGCCAAGACAACTTCAAATCAGGCCTGTTCCTTCATATATGGAAGAGAAAGCACGAGATTCCTGCTGGAGTTCAGGTAAAATTCGATGATTTTTTTTCTAGGATAAGGTCTAGGTTATTAAGGTAACAATGTTGGGTTATGTTGATAACATTGGATTGGATGCATTTAGTATTAGAAAATACAGCGGAACGCCAGCCAGAGTTGTAATCTATACGTCCAGATATTTTACCAGTATTTTTTTAGTTTGTAGAAAATTAAATCAGCAAGTTATTTGATAAATTTTTCTTCTATGAAGCATATTTGAAATATAACTATTTAAAAAAATATATATAAATAAAAACATTCCGAATCATAGAAAACAAATTACAAAGGCTTTTCAGCATTCAATTGTTGTAATTTTAGCTCAAAACACGAGTAATTTTAGATGACTGGTAATAAAATCACATGATGTTTTACACATCTTGAGGCGAATCAGAACTTTTTTTCCTAATAAACCTCAATTTAATTTTACTGACTTAAAGCATATTGAACGAGGAAGTTTTTCTTCCTCAGGGCTTAAATACCTAATGTTCAAATATGTCTTCCTCTAAAGTACCTTTAATATGGTTTATTTTAAAAAGTTAATCATTTCACATTATTCAAAGTAACGAAAAAATGCTTTTGAAAGAATTTGATAAGTTAATAACAGAGAAAAAAAAATAATGCAGAAAAACCTGCGTCGCTATAGACTGTAGCGCCTAAATTAATGTACCGAATGAATCCGAGTTTTCAACGGAAATACACGTTTTGAGGTATCCTGAGTCGAAATGACCAAGTCCCGAAAAATGGTATGAGTGTTTGTATGTTAACAGTCTAGCTCAAAAACAAAAAGTCCTACGAAACTGATATTACGTATTTAAGATAGGTATATGCCTTAGATGTGACAGCAACTTTTTCCTTAAAATTTGGATTTTCTAGTTTCAATTAATTCAGACTTTATTTATAAGAAAATTTTCATCTCTTGAGGTATGCTATCTCACTCCTATGCAAATTTTCCTTTGCTTACATTACACCCTCTATGAACCAACCATAAATTGTCTAGTATGGAAATATGACTGATAATATAATACTATTACAAATTAACTATCGGACAAAAATATTAATTGACTAATTCCGCTTGACTAATTGATTATTATTTAATTTCCACTACAGGCTGGAGTACTTAGTGAAGAACTGCATGATAAAACTAGAGAGGTGTTCGGCTACGCTGGACATCTGTTACAGGTTTGGGTAAGTTAACATTTATTGTAAATTGTTCTATATTTAGACATTAGAGATCAAATGCAATATGTCGACATTATGATGAATTACTAAAGCTTCTTAATGCCATATCAACCATATCAGTTTGATAGTACACATTTTAAATTCAAGTTTAAAATTTGGACTAACTGCCTTGTTGAAACATAATATATTACTGAGTATGAAAAGGTTTTTAATTAAAAAAAAACTAAATTCTATATGGTTCATTAAAATATTGATTAATTGCAGAGAAGGATGGTTGGGGCGATCAGTTAAAATAAATAATTATATTTATTTTTTAAATTCGCTGACGTTTCGGCCCGAAGTTCAGGCCTTCATAAGGGCTCAGGAAAAAAAACAGATAACAATAGGTATAAGAAACTATAAACACTGAATGATACAGAATTAAAATTATAAAAAGGTGAAAGGTATAGAATAAAAATTAAAAAAAAAAAAAACTTAACGTAAAATGAAGTAGATAGAGTGAACATTAATGTAAAACAAAGTAGATAGAACAGAGAACAGGAACAGAGAACTAATAAATAAATAAATAAGAACGGTAAAGAAGCACGGACCAATAAAATAAGCATAATAAAAAATAAGGTAATATAAGAAGTGAAACCAGTAATCTTAGAATAAAGTGTAAAACAGAGAAAAGAAATATGAAGTTATATAAGGAATAAGTCTTAGAATCAAGTGTCAAACAGGGAAAAGAATATGAAGTTATATAAGGAAATAATAGATATAAATAGAAAATTAAGCTATTGTAAAATACTGACTACGTATAAGAGAATAAAAAGTAAAAACAATGTAAAAAAAAAGTGTATGAGGAAATGTATCAATATACTGAAAATAGAGATGGAGATATGGAAAATAGAGTGACAGGAAGGACGAACAAAATGAGAAAAATAAGATACGAAAAATAAACGAACCAGCTCTACCAAGAAGAAATAGGCAATACGCCTATCTGCTTTGCTTCTATTTGCTATGTTGCTGGCCTCCCGTTTCTACGGCGAGTAAGGGTTCCGGATCGCATTTATTTGTATTAAAATGTATTTAATACTTATATTTGTATTGAAATGTTAGATACCACAGACCTGTAGTATCCTAGATTGAACCATATAATTTTTATTGGATTTCCTTTCTAAAGGTATCATGTTTTTAAATTTACTATTTGTAATTATATCTAATTGGTGGCATGCAAGGTAGATGGTAAAAGTACTAAGATGGTTTACTAACTAATATATTTACAAATTTATTTAACCAAAACATATATACAATGGTAATGAACAAACCTATATACATAATAATAGTTGAGAATCATACTAGAGGAGACTGCTTGATTAGAGTTACATGTGTTCTATTGATTTTATTAATTAATGATTTATGGTTGCCAACACAAGTTTACATCGCTATTACCTAGCTGGTGAGGGATGTTGTCGTTATCTCTAGCTGTTCTGGCTACCTCTCTGGAAGCTCCGTCGATCTGGTCTTCAAGTCTTCATCTTGCTCCCTCCGGCTGTCTTCTAGCCTGAGTCCCAGCTATCAGTCCATATCTTCCTCTCTCCGCTTCTCCTGATCCAGTCCTAGCCTGTGTCCCAGCTCTCCGTGTTCCGTCCCAAATCTCTATCTCCCACCTTTCTTCATCCCCCTCTCTTGTGGTAGTCTTTTTCCTGATTGGCTGAATATTCCTAGCCTAAGGGATGACCACGCCCTCTCCCTCAGGCCAAGGTAAAGCAGCAGGTACAGATTTACGTATTTCTGATGGAAGGTGTGAAAGGTCTTTCGAGATCCTGTTTAAACACTCAGTTGTCGGTCTTCGTCGGTGGTTCTTAAGGGTTTTTATTACCACTTACAAGAGGTTGTCCTCGTGGGTCGTTACCCTCGCTCAGGTACCCAACCGCCAGATGTGAGCACTTATGATATTTCTTTATTTATACATTTAAAATAATTAAGTAAACTCCACAGGTGGTCTTTAGAGTACATAGCATATTGCTGTATAAAACTTCATATTCTTTTCTCTGTTTTACACTTTATTTAAGATTTATTCGTTATATAACTTCATACTTCTTTTCTCTGTTTTACACTTTATTCTAAGATTATCAATTTCATTTCTTATGTTACCTTATTTTTTATTATGCTTATTCCATTGTTCTGTACTTGGTTACCGTTGTTATTATTTATTTCTTAGTTCTCTGTTACTGTTATCATTCTACCTACTTTGTTTTACTTTCATGTTCACTCTACCTACATCATTTTACGTCAAGTTTTTTCTACATAAATTTGTTGTCTATACCTTTCACCTTTTTTGATTTTAATTCAGTATCTTTCAATGTTTATAGATTCTTATACCTATTGTTATGTGGTTCTTCTCCAGCCCCGATGAAGGCTTGAACTTAATCGGGCCTAAACTTAATTATAATTATTCTTTTTTAATATTTTATTTTGACTGATCACACCAGCGATAATCATTCGCTACAGTCAACCATCAACCCACAATTAGAAAGATTGATTAAAATGAAATAGTGCATTATATTTCCAAAGTTAGCTATATATGTATATTTTATACTTTAAAAAAATATATTTTGTCACACTATTCCTCAAGTTAACTAAAAGCAAGGAGTCATACAGAAATACCACCAATTCACTTCCGACGTGAAGCATATCTGACCAAAAATTAAAATGTATAAACAAATCTGTGTATAAAGTACCAATACAAAAAAAATTACAAATAATAATTTTTTTGAAAACTAATAATATTTAACGTAAATCACATGTTTTCAAGAAAATTAAATGAAATTTGCTAACTAAATGTAAATTTTTAAAATATTTTTAAGTTTGATAAAAATATTTAAAGGCCACCTGACCCAGGCAATGACATTGTTTAAAAAACTATTTCATTGTACTTATGTGAAAGAAGCAGTAAAATATAAAATCATTTCATGGATGTATGTATGAAGCATATGTTTATAAACTTCAATACATTTACTGTAGTTTAATAATTCTAATTTTGATATTATATTTAAATGTTTAGGTATCTATCGTCCGTTTATTTCGAAACATCATCATGCAACCTTTTAGAAAATTAAATTAGTGAATAACTTGGACCATAAAAAGCAACCTCAGGTAGAAACTTCTAGCCACGGAAATGAACTTCTGGAGACGAATATCCAGAATGGATTAAGTCAGAAATAAAACCATCAGAGAAAATATGGAGGCTAAAAGAACCATTCTGGAAGAGATTGCAGTAAACCCACTGAAGTGGTATGGACATTTGGAGAGAATGACAGAAGGAAGAATAGCCAAAGAAGTCCACTTATGAAAAACTAGGGAAAGAAGACGACGAGGAAGACCAAGGAAGGCCCGGGATAATGAAGTGGAGGAATCCATGATGGGCCATGGTCTACGGAAAGAATGGACCTTAGATAGGACATTATTGAAAGAAGAAACAATTAGTGAATTGTTTGAAGAAATTTCCTTTTGTGATATTCCAGCAGTATCCACTTACAATTAGCTTGACAACTTTTGTCCTATCCATGACAGACAATGCAAATATATTAATTCTGTATTAGCAAACTTTGCAATGGAAAATAACAGTTTAATAACTAATAGTTGTACAATCCATAATCCATGATGCGAACTTTATTTTGTCACTAGACATTAAATCATTTCTTGTTTCAAATACGTTATTTTCTTTTATAATATTAAGCAAATAGTTTTGTAGTAAAAAAAAAAAAATTGTCATATATTGTATAAAATTAACTTGTTTTGGGGGCGCCTTTATGAAAATGCTATCGAATTTGAGAATGGGCCCCCCGGGCCCCGACTTTTTTTAACTTTTTGGATTAAATCGATATCAGGGTCGACTATTAGGTTTTAGGGGGTGCTTTTTATGAAAATGATATCGAATCTGAGATTGGGCCCCCCGGCCCCGACTTTTTTTAACTTTTTGGATTAAATCGATATCAGGGTCGACTATTAGGTTTTAGGGGGTGCTTTTTATGAAAATGATATCGAATCTGAGATTGGGCCCCCCGGGCCCCGACTTTTCTTAACTTTTTGGATTAAATCGATATCAGGGTTGACTATTAGGTTTTAGGGTGTGCTTTTTATGAAAATGATATCGAATTTGAGATTGGGCCCCCCGAGCCTGGAATTTTATTAACTTTTTGGATTAAATCGATATCAGGGTCAACTATTATATTTTAGGGGGCGCTTTTTATGAAAATGATATCAGATTACGAATCATTTTCATACATTATGAGATAGGGCCCCCCGGAGCCCTCCGACATCTCTAATTATGTAAGTCCTAATTAGAATGTTAAATTTCGATATCAGTCGGTCGACTAATTAGGTTTTTCGGGGCGCTATTTTCAATAATAAAGCGCCCCCCAAAAACAATACTTATCGACCCTGATATCGATTTACTTACCAAAAAGTTAAACAAAGTCCGGGGCCCGGGGGGTCCCAGTCCTCGAATTCGAATATCAATTTTCATAAAAAAGCGCCCCCCAAAAACATAATATGTCTTGAGCCCGGATATCGATTTTAAATTCAAAAAGTTAAAAAAAAGTTCGAGAGGCCAGCATATTTAAAACAATTAATATCTTGTAAAAAATACCATTTTACCTTACAAAAATGTAACTGCATAAAATATTGCCTTTTTATTTATCATTGTAAAAAATACCATTTTACCTTACAAAAATGTAACTGCATAAAATATTGCCTTTTTTTTCAATGGTAGAATGATTTATCATGTATGAATTATCCGCTGATATATTAGTTCTTTCCCCAACTTGGCATCAAAGTATCCGCACTTCCTTTCATATCATACCTAGATCATGCATTAAAAGTCCATACAACACATATTTTTCTTTTTAACTACACATCACTGTTGGTTTGTTGGTTGTTTGGCGCGGGTTAGTTGTGGCCGAATGGTCTAACGTGTGTGCACAGTATATAATATGTAGTATGATAATAGCTGTAATAGATGGATAGGCATATTCTTTCTTGAAATCCTTGAACGAGTGCAACCTATCTTCTGCATAGCCTTTATTTCAATCTTGTACTTTTAAAAAGGATCAAAAAGTAGTTTTAACACTCCGAAAATATAGATAGATAGTGTATACAAAAATCCTAAGTTAAGTATCCTATGGGGTGTGCCGGGTCGGTTTCTTTTTAAGACTAGGCACATCATTGATTGCTTTGAGTTTTACGTAATTGATATTTCAGGCAATGGGGTTATCCATTTTTACATAGAACTGCAACCCCATCCGGGGCGGTATCCCAGGGAAGGTGTACCTAGGGTATGTACTGCATGATATGCAGAGCATCTGCCCTTGCGTTGAGTGTGCTGTGAACTGTATGTGTGTTAGTGTACTGTTCCTACGACCTGGAGGACCAGTGGCTGCCTGTAGTATGATGACCGGGCGGTAAGATCACTACTTCCCAACGCCAAGTTTTTAACTATAACATTTTGATTCTAAAATTGCACAATGGAGAATTGATTTTTGTAAGCTTTTCAAATTTCTTCTAAAAACGGGTGCTTATTTTCGTTATCAGTGGAGTAGTTTCCGAAAGTACAATGGACGTTAAGATAGAGCGCTCAAGTATCGAATTATTTATTTTCCGTTAAATTTACCACTGACTTATAGCGAATCAAGCAAATGTGTTGGCGTTTCTTCTATCTTCTTGTATTCTTGATGCTTGCTGAACTTGTCAACAGAAGATCTCTAGGCCACTGCCGAATGTGCAGAACGAGTGTATTTGGATGATTGAGAGTAGATGAACGAAATGTTGTGTACTTGTTTTGTATGTAGCATTTTAATTTTAGTATGTTCATATCTGTATGTATGGTGTGATTTGAAATAAACCAAGGAGCATTGACGGTTTTACGAAGTATTTTGGATTGTGAGGTTTGAATTTTGTTTATGTATGTGTGTGTTTTGCGGCACCCCAAAGTTTTGCTCCGTAAGTCCAAATAGGTCTTAGTATGGAGGTGTAGATTAGTCGCTTGTTTAGTAAGTTGAGTGAAGATCTGTACTCCAAAAGATGTGACAGTTGTTTGTATCGTCTGGTCAGTTCTTGTTTTTTTAATTTAGTGTGAATGTTCCAGGAGAGAATAAAATCCTGGAATTATTACCACGCTCCAAAAACATGGATCAGGCATCATCCCCGATTCGGGAGCACCGTTTTCTTATGTTATGTTCAATAATTATATTTTTATGTCGTTTCAGGACGATTTGATGGAATACTACGCTTCGGAAGAACAATCTGGTAAAGGTTCTCCAGATAGCAAATGTAACATAAAAAGCTGGGCAACTGTGACTGCAATGGCCCACTTTAATGAAGCCCAAGCTAAGGAGTTTAGGGTGAGAAATATATATATAGAGATAGAAAGAGAGATTTGCTCGTAAAGTGTAGATAGATTTTTAAATTTAAAATAAATTTTTTTTAATGACAAAATTTCTTTGGCAAATTTTAATAACATAATTGTTACGGTTGACCAGGCCTGCTACGGGTCCAGTGATCCAGCCAAAAGAACGAGAGTGCATGAGCTGTATCAAGAAGTGAATTTACCGAGACTATATCTGGATTATCTCAGAAAAATCTATATGGTCTCGAGAGAAATAATCAGCAAAATTCCCGATCCCAGAATACGAAGTGCTTGTACTAGCTATATGGATTGGTTGCTCCTTGAACCAGCCCAGGATGACGAAGAATCTGAAAGTGTATTAAATAACTGAGAGGACAAACAGACAAAGTAGACTAAATGATATGTGAACATGCCATATGAAATAAACGACAATTTATTGTCACACAATATATTTTGTTTTTAGATTTGTACATATTTTATTCCACCCATCACAGTCGAGATCTCTGTTTCATTTGCTTCATAAAAAAAAAAATCGTAGGCAAATCTTTATATTATAGTTTATATTTTTTTAATAGACCTCCTACGGGTCCAGCGAGCCAGCCAAAAGATCGAGAGTGCTCGAGTTGTATGATGAAGTGGGTTTCAGGAATATATGTGGATTATTCCAGAAATATTCATATGACCGTGAAAGAAAAATCAGCAATCAGTTCCTCTCCTTCTTATCCGATTGATCTCAGACAGTTGTAATTCCGAACAAACCTCTATCATCTCCCTTTCAACTAATACGAGGTGTTCCGCAGGGTCCTCACTCTCCCCGACCCTCTGATCTATTTATATTAGTGACCTTCTTGACGCCATTCAATACTCCTGTTACCACCTATATGACGATGATTTTCAAATTTACCAATCATTCCAACCTTCTGAGATTCCTGAGGCTGCCCGAAAGCTACAAGAGGATATCAACTGCATCAACAGATGGGCAGAAATAAATGAATTAAAGCCGAATGCATATAAAACCAAGGCTATTCACATCGGGTCCAGACGTCTCATTAGCTCCCTTGCTTACCTCAATAACCGTCCCACCATTTTTTCCCTAGAGTCAAAAAATTAGGAGTAACCTTTGATTAGAACCTCTCCTGGAAAAACCATATCTCTCAAATTACCCGAAAATCCATAACCATCCTTAAACAATTCTTAAGATTCCGTGATTATATTCCTCTAAAAACCAGACAGCTCCTTGTAACCTCCCTTATATTCCCCCACTTCGACTACGGCTGTTTGGTGTATGGAGGGCTATCTGCCAGACTAGAATTGAGACTGAAGAAATTCATGAACTGTTTCATAAGGTACATCTTCGGGATCTCTAGGCGTTCACATGTTTCATTCTGGTACACTGAGTTGAAGTGGCTTTCTTCTACTTCCCGACGACTATTTCTCCTTGGTGTTTTCCTTTTCCAAATCCTCAAAACCAAAAATCCTCCTTACATCCTGAAACTATTTACTCTATGCTCCTCTATCCACTCTCTTAATAAATCCTTTCTCTCAACCTATAGATTTATATATATCCTCCATAAGAAATAAATAATTTCTGGTTTGCAGAGCCCCACGCCTCATGGAGTTAAAGACTGCTAACACATTCCAGTAACGAATTATTTTACTTTTTGAATCACATTAATTTTTTGGATTTATTTCATTTTACCAATGATTAAAAGTAAGAATCTTTACCAATGATTTCATACTGATTTGGATTAGGACATGTCACTGCTTCTGATTCGCTGTATTAATTTCTTTTTAGTTAATTAATTAGTTTTTTTTTTACAGGAGAACATGAAAACTGATTAGTATAATTTCATAATTTATTTCTACCTGTTATTTTCCATAGTAGCAGACTACTTATAACAGCGGAAGACTACAAAATGTTACGTTTAGCACAAACAGAATAAAAATGGAAAATTTTTACATACGACCATTTTCAATACAGTAGCGATACTTGGGCAAATGAACAACGGCTCATTCCAATTTATATTCATACTACTTTATTAATATCTCAGGTAGTTTATCAAGCATGGATTTTAATTATTCCTATACTCTAAATTCCTTTTAGCAGTATTATGTAAAAGAAAAAGTAATTATCATATTTAAATTCATCAACTGGTTACGTATGGTCATTGCTATACGCTATATTTTTTCTCAAGACCTCAATTTAGATTCTAAGTTTCCGCTGTTACTTTTACTAGATTTTACGGATAAGCCACCACGTTCAGTCAAGTTTAATGGATTTCTGTTATAAAAGCTCACAGTGAATCAAACTGACGTATTACTGTTTAAATCACTGATCCAAAAGTAAGAACATAAATTTAAAACATCGTTAATCGAGATGTTCACGTTGCCATTGAATTCGATGTTCTTTCCACGGCCCAGAAATGAACAAAACAAGTTTTTGGCGGATTTCGAGCTATTGTGAAATATGTAGGTAGTAATTTAAATAGTAGTAATTTAAAAGTAATAATTAGGTTCTTATAATTTTTTTAGAAAAAAAAATATATAAATATAATTTCGAGGACTCATATATAAAATGGAATGATTTATTGAAGGAAGTTAGTGGACTATTCCACATATCATAGGTGATAAATAGTCAGGACGCAATCATTTTTAAGGTTGTTTTTTAATAGTTTTGACGTTTCAGCCCAAACCCACAGTATTTGAGTACCATCAGTGCTAGAAACACTCTGATGGCCCACATGTTTGGGTTGAAACATCGGAACTAATAAAAATAAAATAAAACATTAAAATTTCTGCGTCCTCTGCCATACTCAATAGAAATTAATCTTAGGGATATAAGTATCAACGGTTTTCAATCGACTGATATTCATTCATTGTATATTCAGATGAGGTTAATCTAGAATTTAAAATGGTTACTAACTCTAAGTCCTTCAGTTAAATGAAATGATAGATCCTAGTCTAAAAGGCGAGTTATGGAAGAAAAGAAAAAAAAGGTTTCTTCTTAGAAGCTACCTCTAATTCACAACGTCATATTCTGAAGAACCTCTCGACAGAGTACACAAGTTACTGAGAGTGCTACGTAGGCATAATGCTATCGAGGGGATGTCATAACATAACAAACTTCTTAACTTCGTAGGGTACTATCGGAAGGCCTTCTGCGGCAACCTGCCTTTGGTTCATCCATACTTCCGTATATGGCTTGTTCTCGAGAAGCTCGAAGGCTCTTGATCATCACATTCTCCAGCACTAACAGATAGATATAAGCCTATAAATATAGCTAGTAGGACTTGGAATGTTATACAGTCACTAAAAACTATTTTATATAATAGAGAGATAATAATATAAGGGTTAACAAACCTACATAGCTCCATCAAACCGTTCACCAACAATGTCCATATCCGCGACATCTGTTTGGGACAGAGTGAGATTTAGTCACATATTTTTCGGTCTATTTCTCCGTGTTTAGGGATTCATTACTAACAAGGGAGACCCCATTCAGTGGTTCATCAATTAAACTTTTTTTGTTTATCAAAAATCGGATATTAGTAATTTATCCGATAAAACATTAAAATTTGTTCGATAAAAATAAGGTATTATTATGTTAAATAAGGTATCAATTTTTATATTATTATTTTTATTTTTCCTCCTCATGGATTTCAGAATAGCTTTCAATAGATTTTTTTTAATGTGTGATATGAGAAAAATATTCAAATATGTAGTATTAAGTAGCTACAAATTTATCAGAAATAACTAAAGCCAAAAAACCCATTTAGTTCTGAAAAATCAAGTCAGATTTGTTAATAGCGCCCTTTAAAACTCCTAACTACAATTTTTCATAGAGATATAAATGTTTTCTACTCTTAATTAAAACATTCATAGTATTTCTTATTTTTTTCCAAATTTCATTAAAAAGGATTTTGGAAATTACAGAAATGGTTAACTGAAGTAATTAAAAAAATTATAATTTTTTACTTTCTAAATTGATATTTTTTTCATTGTCTAAATCCACTCATCCTAAGTGAATTAAATTGTATTCTATATTTTAATTGTTAAATATTAATTTTGATGAATTGCTGAACATATTTTGCATATCTGAGAAATGTGAAGTAAGTATTTCATCGATTGATATATCGAAAGCACTTCGTATTTTACTTTCAATATCTTGTTATGTTTAAAATACAAAAATTTTATACCTTCGGTCGCGAGAAAGCAAAATATATTTAAACATCAATAATCATAAATAACACTAGGCTAAAGAAACCTTTACAACTCAATGTTATTGAATCAATATTACTGAAGCAATATAACTGAAGGTAATATAATTAAGAGCCCTCTAAGACCTGTCAACTTTATGACAGTAATGATCTTGCTTTCTAAAAAGAATTGGTTACCTTCTTTCATTTCCCTGAACATGAATAATCATGAATTTCATATTTCTTTAATTAATTTACTTGGCTATTACATTAAAAAATATAATCATACAATAAAAATATCTTCCTATTCTATTGCTAAAATTAACTACATTTGTTTATAAGGCAACCCACTAATAATATCGATTAAATTACCAATTACGTTGTTATGAGGACATATAGGAATAGAACATTTTATAATGTATTTTATATTTTATTCACACTTTAATGTAACCTTAATATTTTGATCTTAAAAGTTTATTTTGTCCCTAGATATTAAAAAATTTCTTGTTTCCTAATTGTTAAATATTTAAGAAATCGTTTTGCAATAAAAAAAAATGTTAATGTTAAACATAGTAAAAAAATTTACTTTAAAAAAATAGAGTAACATTACAACAGTTAATTGGCATAAAATATTATCATTATAACTAAAAAACATTTTTAAAATAGGAGGAAGTGAGTGAGGGGCGGACACACCCTCCCTCCTCAGCACATGTTCTAACCAAGAGGAAGTTCAAAATATCTTATGGACTAGGGTCACTCATAGTCCTAGATCCTTATATATATGATACAATATTGTTCAATACAGCCCTTACACGTGCAATTATAAAGATACTGTTTTGAAAATATTGATGGATCATCAATAAAAAAAAATTAAATTAAATTAAAAAGAAATGATATCATCCAGGTTGATTGACTTCAATATAACTAATTCCAATATAGCATATTTCGAATATTGGAACATTAGTTGGTCTACAGAAAGATGGCATACAAATAGAAATATAAGAGGGTATACCAAAAACAAAGAATACCCAGAGGTCTACTGGATATACTACAAAAAAATATATATATATTAAGTTTAAGTTAAAATAGTTGTTAATGTAGACCATGTAAGATATTTGGTATAGTGATGGAATACAGAATAGTATCTTGACTTAAAAGTCAGAAAAATGAACACCCTAGTTAACCTATAGATGTAATATTTTCATCCTGAAATCGTCAAAAATAGGATCAAACCACTACTGCTCTCACTTAATCATACCTAAGTGA